ACTTTTAAATCCAGATTGAAAAGTACTTTCTGTAAAACTGCTTTACGTGTTTAGTTTGTTGTCCTTCCCCCACACATCCGATTAGCACGGTTGGCTACGTACGGTGCGAAAGAAGTTCAACATGCATACATAAATTTCGATTTAAAACTTTTGTGACTGCAGGGATTCATCTTCTTGGTTCTTTCGGTAAAGTCACGTAGAAGGGAGATAATAAAATAATGAAAATAAAACATAATAAAATATGACATTATGTTTCATTTTTATTATTTTATTATCTCCCTTCTACGTGACTTTACCGAAAGAACCAAGAAGATGCATACATAACTCCGTAACAAAGGTAAAGGTGCAGCCCGGGAAACTAATCGCTCTTGCCACTGCTGGCAGAAAGGCCTCCACTGGAGGGGTGTTTTTGGCCTACTCTTCCACGCTGGCCAATGTGTTGAAATAGGTGGCACTACCCACACATTACCGCACAGGGCTCTGCACAGTGCTTTTTGAAAGTTCGTATATCTTAGTTTACATACATGGAATATGCCAGATACGGTGAAACCCCAAACTTTATATATATATATTTTACCCTCGCAACAGAGATAAGCACCTCAACTCACTACATTTGCATAACCGGTTTAATCGCAGGTAGCTGCCTGCATTGTAACCCAGGATATATCTCAGTGGTTTCGGACGAGTGGCTCCGACATGGACATTGTGAGCCCCCCTTGGGTCCCTTGACCGCATCCCCCGCACCTTTCCTGCCCTTGCACCCCCACAATGCCACCTCTTCCTCACCTACTCTCGCCAACACAGTCAAATGTCGATGCAATACAGCACAAAACATCGTCAGAGCTACTTGACGATGCACTGCACAGAGGGCACACGCTGACGTGAGCCAGGCTGCCTGACCTGCCGCGCACTCAAAGAGCATCGTGGACGAACTTACGCACGACGATGACGACGCCACCTTTTTCCCCACCGGTCACAAAACGTCCGATAAAAACGTCACCAAAATCTTACTTCAACAAAACGCACAGCACCTCCTTATCAGCCACACGTCCGTGACTGCGGCCTACGCCACCGATTTAATCGGTGGGCTGCTGATTTTTGTTTGTTACACCCATTTACCACTTTCGGACTTTTAGGAACGCAAATTACATCGCTTTTGAATATTTTGAGAAGGGGGGCTGGGGGAGAGGGAGTTTGGAATTAAAAGTTTACTTAGAATTTTTAACACGCAGGCTTTCGCGACCAATATCATTCTTAATAAAGGTTTTTTTAATATATAGAATGTAAATGTTGTGGATTTGCTCTCCAACACACTGGTGTGCTGTACTAGTAACGAATTGGCATGTTCTGTTTACGTGACAACCCTTACAAATTGGCTGTGTCGGGTGGTGGCGGGTTTAACGACACATTTATATTTACGCGATCTAACCCAAAACACCTATATGATGCATTTACTTCGAATATCGGTTACGCGGTAGTAAAAGGGCTTGAAAAGTGGCAGCTTTTCGCTTACATCCGTAGCGTTGGCGAGTGCGTTTCTCTTAACTTAAACAATGTCAACAATCACCTGGTCTTGAAATCTTGGGAGAGAAACACTAGTGTTGTTCATAAATGCACACGTGATTTTTATAATTTTACAGATTGATTGCATTTTCCACAAGTATGAACACAGCCCCAAAGCCGACAATCCACATTTCGGTGTGCAGTATAGACAAAGTGCTTGCCACAAACGAACCACAATACCTAGATGATCTCGTCAAAGACCACAAACCATCACGCGAACTCTGGCCATCCTCGCTGCGGCTTTTGGTCTAGCCATCGAACAGAGACGGTCACCGCATCGCGCGCTTTCAGATGCGCTTCTGCGGCCGTCTGGAACGCTCTTCCTTCCGACGTTAAAAAGCCACTGGAGCTATACACTTTTAAATCTAGATTGAAAACAAATTTCTTTAGAACTGCTTGTTGTTGTATCTCGTTGGTTGTCCTTCCCCCGTACCTCCGATTAGCATGGTTAGGCTACGTACGGTGCGAAAGAAGGCCAACGCACACACATACATAGACATGAGAGGGCAGGTGCTGTTCGCGAGCATCTATTAAGGCTGGTGTGGCACACGAAGCGGCGGTGGGCTCGGCATTTAACACCCTCAGTAGCCTTTGTCTTTCTGCTACTGTTACTGATACCCATTTTAGGCCGAGTTCACCTAGGGGAGGGGAGGGGGTGCAGTGGCAGTGCAGTGTTTACCGCACTGCACTGCACTGCGAACTTGAATTTGAATCCCGGCCTCGGCCAACATCAGTGGCGAGTGACATAGGAACCGGTCCTACCGCCCTTACCACCTCACCAGGCCCGCCCTGACGTGGATATTTTTTGCAGCCAAATACTCTAAACGCGTGATGTTGATCCTAAATGTGGAGGGAAAAACCGGAGGACCTTGAGAAAAAAATCTACGCAACCACGGGTAAAGAGAGGCACGCAAACTCCAAATATACAGCAGGCGTCAGGGTCGAACCCACGACCTCCTGTATACCAGGTGAAGTAGTTAACATCTCACCACCATGGCACCTTCAGCCTTGAATATTGGGGAGCTGGAGGGGGCTGTAGGGGACTGAGCACCCTATCGCTGCCACTGAAGACTCCACCACCGCCTTTAAACTTGTTACAGTCAACAAAGTTGGCATAGCGCAACAACGCTGCCGAAAGGAATGATTTGAGATCCGTGAGAGAGAAAAAAAAAATCACAACTATTACCGCCGTAAACTTTGCACCGAAACAAACTGTAATAATAATAAAAAAAAGAAAACTATGAAAAAAGTGAGCAGGAAGTGGGCGGGTAACCAATGGACCAAGTAAGCACTACACAACAACCAGGCGATCAAAAACTCGCCCATAAAGAGAGCCAGTGACCTACGTGAATCTCTAAATTTGCCGACGTAAGTCCCCGTGAAGTGTCCTGCACTCGCGGTCCAGGCCGTCGATCCCTGCCCGAGATGATTCTCTCCCTCGTTCTTCAAAGTGCTCGTTCGATCGTCGCTGGACTATTGCTCGCCGCCCTCACAAAAGTGATTCTTTAACTGCAGACACATGCTGAAGTCACTGGAAGCCAGGTCTGACGAGTGTGGGTTTTATCCAGATTTCTATGGATTGCCCTCCAGTACTTCCGTTCTCTCTCTGTTTTTTTCTCTCTCTCCTGATGTCTTCCCTTTGCAGTAAACGCTCAAAGATAATGATTTCAAACACCTGCAAAGAGTGGACCTATTAATCTAATGCCATTACTTTTTTTTACGACCCCCTAAAAGTAATGCACTGTAAAACTTAAATATTAAACAAACTCGCCCTTTGCTGCGGTACCAACTCTTATTTTTAACGTCAGGCCTGGGACACCGTTTAATTCTGTTCGTGCCTCCGGATAATTGGGCTCCATAAAAGTGAGGACACGGCCCTTTACCGCGACCGCAAGCAGCCCGATGCACACTGCCGCCTGCCAGCGTGGATGTCGGCGAACCGGCGACTCGATTCCTCACGCGGGAGCTCGCGCTCAACTGTGCGCAGATCTGCGGTTGGGTCGCCCGCTTGAAACAAACCACCGGTTTCCACTGACGACTTATGTAGCAATGCAAAAGCCGTTGGCGTGCGCACAGCAATGTAACCGTGTACTGTGAAGGAATATTGTATACCAAACTCATTCTAAGCATTGCTGTGGAACATTACGGGCGCAAAAAAGCAACCAATATGCAGAATTCTAGATTTGAAGCTTTCGTGACTGTAAGGATTCATACTCTTAGTTTTTTCAACACAGAACTGAGTTCTGCATGTTGTTAGTTCTTTCGGTAAAGTCACGTAGGTAAAAAATGAAATTAAAATTAATAAATGTTTTTTTTTAATTAATAAAAATAAAATATTATTCTTTTATTTGTATTACTTTTAATTTCATTTTTTACCTACGTGACTTTACCGAAAGAACTAACAACATGCAGAACTCAGTTATGTGTTGTCACACGTAAGAAGATATATTTTAAATTTGTTTTGAAGCTTTAGTTTTGATTTGAAGAGATATTTTATTAAGTCCATGGGACCATTGGATTTTCTGACCAATATTATCCAGTATGCATTTTGAGCACTTCAACAAATGCTGCTGGAAAGTATTGGTATTTTTTGCCATGAATATGTGAAGACTGAACAGAGTTCTACTATGTGTCAAGGAATGTGGGCCGAATGAACCAAGCGAATCCAACGTCAAAAGGTCATCGTGAAGACGCATGTGCTAGGAGATGGGAAATTGTGGAATGTGGGCATGCAATTTAAACTCCTCCGTTTGCCTTTGTGCATTTAACCCTTTCCCATTCTGATGACATACGTCATATATAATAACTTTATCGGTACCGAGGCTCCCACAAGGCCATGCGGGAGGGCGTGTGGCAGAGGTCGCAAACGGGTTTTGATTCCTTACCCATACCCGGCCGCACCAGGGTCGAAAACGGGTACCCGTACCCTACCCGTTACCCGGCCAGGTATGGGTAGGGTACGGGTATCGGGTACCCGATTGCAACCTCTGGGATGAAGCCATGTTGCAGGCGCGGGTGGGTTGATTCTAGGAACTTGAATTGTGAGAAGAGACAAGACGTTGGGAAATGAGTGACAAACGGTTACTCACCAGTGACTCACGGCCTACCCGTACCCGGCCGGGTACGGGTAGCCGGGTATTGGGTAGGGTACGGGTATCGGGTACCTGATTACGACCTCTGGCGTGTGACACAGTTTGGCGCCATCTATCACAGAGTGCGGCCGTGTCGCGACGGTTCTCTGCGGTGAGTACAACGTCTTTAAAACCAGCGGCGCTACGCCTCTCTCATTCAAACGGCGAGCCGCTTGCGCGTTCCGAGATTCAGCGGTGAATGGGACATGAACCTGTAACTTGCAGACGTCTCGGAACGGGAAAGGGTTAAGCAATGCGTATGGTCCCAGCGGTACATACGATATGATGAAGGCAAACTTAACATGAAACGTTTCATTTGTTTTATTTCTCAACAGTCAACAAGAGATGAACACAGAGTTTGTGTAGAAAAATATATAACATTTTCTTTTTTTGGATCGTTGCTTTGAGTGACCTGCTAGGTGACGTGAAACAGATGATTTTAAATGAGGTTGGCACATTATTTAACCGGATTTACACGAAGAGTTTCACCAATTTTTGTTTTAATGACGAACATGACGAATAGAACGGGGCGTAACTGTGGGACACATTCAAATGAACATAAATAAATAAATAGGCATTCAACGATTTACTTTGCAGTTTGCATATGTCAAAACAATTAGGTGACTTCGTATAAATATGCAAACAAAAATGTAAGCATGGGCTGGTAAAAATTGATTTTTGTGAGTTGCGAGAAACCCCTCGAGTAATGTACCCATTATCTCCCAGTTTATAAGATTATATAATGACTCTTGTACTATGAAATATTCCAGTGTGATTCATGTATTGCTCTTACAATAGCTGGCCTATAATTACCAATAAATACTTTACTTTGCATGGATTTATAATGATCTAGTCACGAAAGATGGCAAAGTCTAAGTGTAAATGTTAAGTTCCCTTGGGCTGAGGTTGTAATATTAACCATGTTTGGTTAGCAACTAGTCAGCATGTGCTGTGGAAACATCAATAATGTCCACAGGAGAAGAAGCAACTTTGGTTTAATGCCACATGACTGTCCAGACAGCATCCTCTTACAATCCAATAATTATGCTTCGCCTGCGACTTAATGACTGACTGCAAAAAAAAACAGAAACAGATTTCTGCCAAGGAGTCACCCAGGCAGTTATACATCTGGACAAATCAATGATTATCACTGCAAAGTCGAACGAAATCAACTCTCAAGGTTGAACAGCTGCCAATTACTGTAAAGACTTCTCACAGATTTTGTTCTGCGCAATGCCTGCACGCTTGACACATCGTTACGTTGTAAACCACGCCTTCGCATTAATCGCATTTCAAATTCAACGAGTTAAAATTGAATGCAACACGAACACAAACCTAGGAATCGCACTGCATAAACACCTTTTATGTTCGAGTGTTTTTTTTTTTTAAACCCGTTAACATTGAATAATTCTCTACAGCGCTGCAGTTATTTCATACAGTATAGGAAATGATTCGCAAAGAAGGAAACATTTCTGCCGCTTATTGCAAAGCTCCCCTTGTTTAGTGCCGATCGTGGCAAACATTAAATAAGTGCACCTCTTCACGAAGCAGGGCAAAACCGACGGGGAAAGGGGCCAGGGTTTGTCGCGTTTACGTGTAAACTGCGTTGCCATTCCTTGGGTGTAAATACATTTTCAGGTGCAAAGGAGAAAAAAGAAAAAGGGAAAATACCGCACGCAAACATTTTAACACACGCTCACGGTAATGTGCCCTTTCTTTGCGAGTTACATCATTGCACGTGGTCCTGTGTGTCATTTCAGAGATGAAAAAGATTGTTTTTTTTTCCATCTCGCACGGAAACAAATCTCGGACGAGTAAAGAACTAACAAAATAACTCAATGATTTGTGTTGTCGAGTTTTTGTTGCGTCTGCGCAAACGGAAACCCACCGTTCCTTCACGGTCAACAATTATAGCAAAAAAAAAAAAATCAAAAGTCAAAGTGTCCCTCTGGTAAAAACGAGCACGAGGCGGTGTTGCATCTCTACTTGGTTGTCCTGGGCCACCATGTGGCCATTCCACACTCCTGTGACCCGGGATGGATGATGCTGGGCTGAGTTACATTGAAACTCGCAGCCTCCCCCCCCCCCCCCCACTTCTCCCATCTCCCCTTGCAGCGCTCTAACCGCAGCTTCGCTCGGTCAGAAGTCAAATAAAAAAAACCACCGGGGGGTAAACGAGCGCTCACAGCAAATGCCGGATGTGTTCAAGGTCCGCCTTGGTGAAGACGACGCGCGTGCCCAGGTAGAGCGACGCCAGCCCCAGGGCGGCGGCGCACACGACGTACGCCTGGACGGAGCCGCACGTCTCCACGATGGCGCCCATGCACAGGGAGGGCACCACCTGCGACAGGAATAACATGCTGTCCAGGATGGCCATGTCCATGCAGATGCCGCGCTTGCCGTGGTCCGTCGCGTGCTGGGAGGCGGGCAGCTGCAGCTGCTGCTGCTGCGGTAGCGTCGTCGTCCTCGCGCTCGGCCGATCGGCGAGGACGGGGCCTCCGTTGTGGGACTTGTGGGCGTGCGCGCTCAGCGCCGTCGACTCCCACCCGTGGGGTTTCTTCTCCGAGCGCTGGGCGTCCGTGTCGCTCTTCGCCTTGTGGAACATGAAGGCCTGGGCGGGCACAGCGGAACGGGGTCAGTCGGCAACGTCGATCGGCTCTCCCGACTCGTTTCGGGCCGTCAATGTCCGACGTTTCGCCGCACGCGCTGGGAGTTTTGTTTTTGGGAACAGCAGCGCCACGCGGAGGGAAACTTCGGACAATGTGCCGAACAACACCGTGGGGTGCCATGGTGGCAAGATGTTAACTACCTCGCCTGGTACACAGAAGGTCGTGGGTTCAATCCAGACACTGACATCTGTATTTTTGGAGTTTGCATAGTCGGATAAATTTTTCTCCGGGAGTGTGTGGTTTGTCCCTTCACAATGAGAATCAACATGTGTTCAGAGTATTTTGCTGCTATAAATTTCTGCACGATAAGCCACTTCGTTGAGCTATATCATTTGTGGCCAGGTTTGGCTTTGAAAAATAGATACATAGCTCAGTGGACCTTACCTGTTAAAATAAACATATTTTAAGCAGTTTACAATACTTGCCAGGTCTCGGAACGAAGCCGGATTGAGCCTCGGTCAGTTCTTGGTTGGGAGAATTCAGTTTCTGAAGAAACTCCTAGCAATGAGCGGCGAGTCCAGGTACTCCCACATTTTTTCCCACATGCTTGATGCTCATTGATGGAATAAAAAAAACTTCCCTATGCAAGACCCTCAGTGAGACTTTTATGGGTCGATAAAAATCACTGATATTGTTGCATGCAATCGCTACTGTCAGTTTAACATGTAAGCTTTCGTGACAAATATTATCCACAGCTGGCATCATCCGGCGGACAGCCGGCTGTCCGCCTGATGAGGCTGGTTGTAATTACTGGTGAAACGTCGTACTCGAATTGTAAATGTTGTGTGTTTTACACTCCAGAACACCCGTGTGCTGAACTAAAAACGAATTGGCACATTTTGTGTACGTGACAAACCTTGCTAATTGGCTACATCGTGTGGTGGCGGGTTTAACGACACATTTATATATTTACACGATTTGACCCAAAAACCTCTATTGAGGATAATGACTACTGTTTAGCGTTAATTAGGCCTCAAGGTTTTTGTGGAGTGCTCTTTGCTACAATAGCAGGAAACACAGCAGCATTTTTTTGTTTACACGTGCCTGACTGCTGATCAGACTCGACGCCAGTTCAGGGTTTGCTGATGAAACAAATGCCCCAGGAAAGAATTGAGCGCAGAAGGCCGATTGGTTGATGGATTCGAATTAGAATTTCATTTTTATTTACTGGCAACATTTGGTACCCGCATACCAAAACAAAGATCCCCCGTATAGCCTGTAACGGACTGTTGGGGCAAGTGTTGTTAGCGAGCACCTATGAAGGCCGGCACGGCAATACGAGGGGGTGGGCGGCCAACACCATGCCCGGCCGCCTTTGTCTCCCTAGTGGCAATGCTCACACACCGCACCAGGTACTCATTTGAGGCTGAGTCGACCTAGGGGAGGCCCAGGTCCGGTTCAGATAATCATCACTGGTGTTGGTCGTGAGCGGGAATCTAACTCGGGTCGCCAGGTTCGTAGCGCAGCGCGCTAACCGCTACACCACCACTCCTAACAGACATGTACACACACGTTTGGCATGCCACGATTCACCTCCTCGGTAATGCGACGAACTTTCACAATTTTTAACGTGCATGCGTTTATTTATTATTATTATTATTATTGTCATCTCGTTCGCACAACTTTGCTCAATTTCGATTTAAAACTTTCGTGAGTGCAGGGATTCATCTTCTTGGTTCTTTCGGTAAAGTCACGTAGAATGGAAATAATAAAATAATAAAAATAAAACATAATAAAATAATTCTCACGACGTTTCGGCCACAACGCAAGCAGCCGTCCTCAGGTGAAGAAACAGGTCTGTCGAGAAGAAGCTTTGCTCAACTACTCGTCTAACAACGACCACGAGCATATCCATTTGTGCGATTCGTTGAAATTCTCAACTTCGACGAGTAACCAAAGTGAACAATGCACGACGGCACGCGGCCAGAATCAGAACCTTTCTTTTATCCTGGCGAAATCCGACGAGCTATTAACCTATTTTTCACACGTCTGGTACCTGGCGCGCCACCGTAAACTACGCTTGAAGTGCATTGGCACGAGGGAAGGTGGTGGAGGGGGCGGGGTTTGGGGGGGGGGTGCGGGGCAGAGGGGGGGGGGCACAGTGTGGGAGGGGAGGGGGTGCAGAGACATCCGAGATTGGTGTTACGCCTGTGGCCCCGTAACGCAAGCGGCCCGCTACAATCCGTATCTCTGGCATCAACACAAACACGGGCAGCGCGGGTCACAGGCAGCCACGTCCCGGGCCGTGACCCCCCCCCCCCATTCGCCCGGGGGGGGGGGGGGGAGGTGGTGGGGGGGGGGGTAGTGCAGCATTTAGCACGCTGCGCTACTAACACAGAGACCCCGGTTCGATTCCTGCTCACGGCCAACACCAGCGATGATTTAACACGCAGGCTTTCGCGACCAGTATTATTCACAATAAAGGTTTTTGGGTTAGATCACGTCGTTTATAAATGTGTCGCAACCCTCCACCACCCGACACGGCCAATCAGTAAGAAATGTGTCACGTTGACAAAAGACAAACAGTTGACTACTTTAGCCCACCGGTGTGTTGAAGAGTGGATCCACAACATTTACAATTTGAGTTGTACGACGTTTCACTGGTGATTACATCCAGCATCTTCGGGCAATTTGCCAGAATCGTGAAGCCATCCACCTACTTCCGGTCTTAATTAGTGCAGGATGACGTCATCATTGTTGAACCCCATCAGGATTCGAGATCAGAGGCGGGAGGTGGGGGGGTATTGCAATTATGTAATAGATCAGTAATCAGCCACTTAGCATGTGACTCACCTGTAAGGAATTGCAATATGTGTTGTGTGTTACTGGCCAAGATTAGTTAGAGAATCAATTGAAATTGAGAATAATTCAAATTATTTTAATCGCTGTGATAGCTATAGACTCAGCGCAGCCTGGAAGCGTATTATTAAGTAATAACACAACACATTGGCCGTGTCGGGTGGTGGAGGGATTGCGACACATTTATAAATAACGCGATGTAACCCAAAAACTTTCATTATGACCAGTGATGATTTTCAGAACCGGTCCTGAGCCTCCCCTAGGTCGACTCAGCCTCAAATGAGTACCTGGTATGTTATGTTGAGCATCGCCACGAGGGAGACAAAGGCGGCCGGGGCGTGGTGCTGGCCACCCACCCTATCGTGGCTGTTCCGGCCTTCATAGGCGCTACTCGCTAACGTCACTTGCCCCGACAGTCTGTTAAAGGCTATATGGGGGACCTTTATCTTCGTGTAATTCATGCCGTGTATAATAATGGTGTGTGTGTGTATTACGTGTGTGTAACGCACGGTGTGTACAGCGGCGCGTGACACGTGGCAGAGACATGTGACCACACCGTTGCTTCACGTGACCACGCTTGGCCACGTTTGCGAGTGGGAGACTCGATCCAGTTCACGTATCGCACCGGGGGGGATCGTTGTCTAAGGGGGGGGGGGTGGGGTTAGTGAGGGTGCAGCCACCAACCTCTTGCTCCTGGTGGTAGAGTGTGGTGAGCGTGTAGGGCAGCGTGTGCAGCATGGAGCATCCAAAGCCCGTGAGCGCCGTCATGGCGGTGACGAGCGCCACGCTGTCCGACAGGCACATGACGAGCATGGCGATCGTGAAGGAGCCCATGCTGGCCAGGTAGACCCCGCGGCCACCCAGCGAAGTCACCAGGCGGTCCATGCCCACCGAGCACACGGTCGACGTGCAGCACTGCAGGAAGAGGCCCCAGCTGCCCATGCGCACCCCTGGCGGAGGCGGCGGCAGCCCGTGGTCAAGGTCCGATCGAAGGCGTTTGGGGGCACAACAGCAGAGCAAGCGTGGGGTTAATGCTCACCTACAGCAGCAGCAGCCTTTGCGGCTAAAACAGCAGCAGTATCAGCAGCAACAGCAGCAGCAGCAGTATCAGCAGCAGCAACAACAACAGCAGCGGCAATTACGGTTGATCAGAAAAGCAAGTGATTCAAGTTCGACTGCAGCAGCAGCTAAATCAGCAGCAGCATCAACAGTAGAAGCTACAGTTGATCAACAGCGCTTGGCACAACAACGGCGCACGCAGCATAAGCCAAAACGGAAGCAGCCAAAGTGGCATCAGCAAGAGCATCTTCATCAGCAGCAACAACAACAGCGGCGGCATTACAAGCAGCGACAACAGCATCGGCAGCAATCTCAGCCAAAACAACAGTGGCCCAGCCCAAAACACAAATAGGGGTCATCGCGCATTGGCGACGAAGAGCCGGGCTTTGGGAGTCTCGTTGCGGCACCTTCGTCATAGAGCAGGCGCCGCGGGGAGCCGGCCTCGGCGCTGGGAACTCCGCCGTAGAGGCCCTCGCCCATGAAGTCCGTGTAGAAGAGCATGAAGGTCATGATGGACATCCACGAGGACAGCTGCGCGAAGCACAGGCGCAGCAGCACGTTCGGCATCCGCAGGAAGCTGCGGTAGACGTCCGGCACGAGGAACGAGACGACGCCGCCACGGAGCCACCACGCGGCGCCGTTGTGCCGGGCCGCCCGCCAGCCCGCGCCGGCACGCTCCACACAGCCCGAGCAGCATCTCGCACCTCCACTCTGCAAGCGACACGCAGCCCACCACCCATCACCCACCACCACCCCCAAACATCACCATCACCACCAGCACCCACCGATCACCACCACCACCACCACCACCCCCAACACCACCACCCACCACCACCACCAATCACCACCACCCCCAAACATCAGCCCCAACACCACCACCACCACCACCCCCAACACCACCACCACCATCACCACCAACACCACCACCAACACCACCATCAACACCACCACCACCACCAATCACCACCGATCACCACCACCCCAAACACCACCACCCACCATCACCACCACCACCGATCACCACCACCCCCAAACATCAGTCCCAACACCACCACCACCATCGCCACCACCACCACCACCACCCCCAACACCACCACCACCACCATCACCACCACCACCAACCCCAACACCACCACCATCCCCACACTGTTGTTTTAGTCTCAGGGCCCGGTCTGCTCCTCAGTATGACTACGACTTGTGTTGTGTTGACTGCGGATGTATTGTGCAATTGTTATTATTATTATTGTTACTGGCTTTTATCGTAGTGTGTTTTCACTTTCAACAATTATATAGCCGGGCGGTGGTGGATTTGCACGTGGCCTGTAAGCCGGCACTGCGGAGGTGAGAGCATCGAGGTGCCATATGCTGGCTTGCCATAAGAAGGCAGTACAGCAAGTGGGCTAATCGCCATCTGTTTCCATTTGTTGCCCCATTTTTTATGTACAGCGCTTTGGGATATTTCGATATGCTTTACAATTGTGATTAGAATTTATTTTAATATTCAGGGCCGAGTCCCCACACATACATATGGATGCTGCCATGGGGTGTAATGGTTGGCAGTCACTGGTTCGATTCCCAGGTGAGGCAGCCCACGCTATAAGTTAGTCTTGATTGGGACTTGAATTCAGGTCACTGGGTTCATAGTGCACTGGGTGAAGCATTAAAGCTTCACCGCTCCCGAGAAACAAGAGCCCCCATTCACCACGAAACGGGCCCAGGTGTCATGGGTTAACCGACTTCGAGGACCGCTTTCCACGCACAAAGGCCCTCCTATAGCCCTCATAAATTGTCGGGGCAGTTTGCGAGCACCTATTAAGCCTGGCATGGAGCATGAGGGGTCAGTGCGGACAGAACCATCTCTGCCTGTCTCTGTCTCCACGGTACTGACATCTACACATTGCACCGTGCACTTATTTCAGGCCCAGTGGACCTAAGCAGAACCAAGGAATCGGTTAAAATATTTGCCGCCGATATTAGCCACGGCCAGGAATAGAATTTGGGTCGCTCTGTTCTGAGTGCAGTGCACTCGGCACGGCCGCTCGCACCGTGAGGAGAAGCATCCCTCCCCGTCGCCCACGGGGCTGTTGGGACAAGTGTTGTTAGCGAGCGCCTATTAAGCTCGCCATGGCGCACGAGGAGATGGTGTCATGAGAACCACGCCTGGCCGCCTTTGTCTCCCCAACGCACACCACACACATAAACAAAGACAAAGATCCCCCGTATTTCCTTAACAGACTGTTGGGGCAAGTGCTGTTCGCGAGCACCTATAAGAAAACCGGCGTGGCGCACGAGGGGGTGGGCGGCCAGCACCACCCCCGGCCGCCTTTGTCTCCTTAGTGGCGATGTTCACACACCGCACCAGCTGCTCGTTTAAGAGTGAGTCGACCTAGGGGAGGCCGAAGCGCTAACCACCCCAAAGACAGACAGACAGACGTGTGTCCACGAACGCGCACGCCACCTCACCTGCGTAACGACGACCACCTCCACCACCTCCCTCCTGCCCCCGCCACCCGACGCCGCGCCGGCCGCCACGGAGCCGGCCAGCGGCACGTCGGGGTGGTGCCCCCCGGCAGCCCGGCCATGCGGCACCAACGCCACCGCCGCCGCAGCCGCCGCCTGCCCTCCCCCGGCCTTCGCGGGCGGCGCCGGCGGGTCTCGGGCCTGCCACATGGTGACGGCGAGGCTGACGAGGAACACGGCGATGAGGATGGAGAAGAGGCACTGGCCCTGCCCCCCGAGCCGGCGAGCCAGGTCGGTGCCGCTCCAGTCGACGGTGGGCAGGAGGTAGCCCACGCAGCCGCCGGCGCTCGTCATCAAGGAGTACATGGCGTAGGCGTGCACGCAGCGCTCGGGTTCGCGCAGCGTGTCCGCCACCAGCGCCTCGAGCGGCGTGAAGCACGATTGCCCGCAGAAGTCCAGCAACCCCACGCCCACGATCATCAAGCCGACCTGGGTGCGCGCGGGACACGGGGGGCGGCACGACGGGCGATGTGGTGCGGTGGCGCTTCTTGAGTGTGTGGGTGTGCATGGGTACTTTAGTTTGAGCGTGTGTGTGGGTGATGTGGCGTGTGGGTGCACGGGTACTTTCGTGTGTACTGGAATACTTTAACATTGTAGAAGCAATTCATCATTATTTATTTCCCTTTGTGTCAAGAGCACTCCTGGGTAAAAGCCTCCCCAAGCCATATTAGTCACGGCGGATTGTACGTATGTAGAACTTATTTCACACCGTACGTAGACCAACTGTGCTAATCGAGTCGCCATAGAAAGACAGCTTCTTAGCTCAATGGGCCTCACCCAAAATAAACTGACTGATTGACCGTTTCAGATATCACTTGCCAATGATGTTAGCCACAGCTGGGAATAGAATTCCCGCTGTGCTGGTGCTGCTGCTGCTGCCGAACCAAGCGTGAACTTTTATTTGGGTTATAAGCGTGGCATTAGGGTACTTGAACTAGTATTCGGGCACTCTAGTACTTTATTCAGTGTAAATAAAGTAAAAGTAGATTTGTGTTAAATTTAATTTTGGAGAACTCTCATCTCCTCTTTACATCCCTGGGGTGGGTGTGAAAAGTCCACATTCCTGTGACAGGTGCCAGTCTAACAATGTAACTGTCGCTGTTCGAGTCCTCACAATTCGTTTTATCAACGGCTCTGACAACGCCTCGACTGAAATTTGACCTTGTGGGCCTTCGGATCGCGAGTCAAGCTCTCTCCTACCGCAGCGCCACTCAGCCAGACAGAGCTGTTTAGTGCGCTTCACACCTCAGTCAAAAAAAAACGGATGAATACGCTTTGAACGAGTGTGGTCCAGCCGCGCTGATGGAAAGCGCCTGGAGGTTCCACGGCTCATATAGAAGGGCGCGGTGGCGAGATGTTAACTACCTCGCCTGGTATACAGGAGGTCATGGGTTTGATTCCGACCCTAACGGCTGTACATTTGGAGTTTGCAAGTCTCTCTCCCCGTGGTCACGTAGATTTTCCTCTGGTATTTCCTTCCACATTTATAAACATGCATTTAAATTTCCGCGTAACAAGCCACTTCGTTGAGCTATCCTTTGGGACCAGGACACTTCTAAAAAGAGATATATATTTTCTTGGTTCTTTCGGTAAAGTCACGTAGAAGGGAAGTAATAAAATAATAAAAATAAAACATAATAAAATAATTCTCACGACGTTTCGGCCACAACGCAAGCAGCCGTCCTCAGGTGAAGACCAGGTCTGTCGGGGAGACAGGTCTTCACCTGAGGACGGCTGCTTGCGTTGTGGCCGAACGTCGTGAGAATTGTTTTATTATGTTTTTTCGATTTAAAGCTTTCGTGACTGCAGGGATCCATCTTCTTGGTTCTTTCGGTAAAGTCACGTAGAAGGGAAGTAATAAAATAATTCGTGAGAATTATTTTATTATGTTTTATTTTTATTATTTTATTACTTCCCTTCTACGTGACTTTACCGAAAGAACCAAGAAGATTATTATGTTTTATTTGTATTATTTTATTACTTCCCTTCTACGTGACTTTACCGAAAGAACCAAGAAGATGAATCCCTGCAGTCACGAAAGCTTTAAATCGAAATTTAAGAGCTATATAGCTCCGTGGGCCTTACCTGGTAAAATAAAAAAAGTGTTTAGTTTAATCCAGAGACTGCGGTAATGAAACCTGTTACGGTGGTCGTGGGCGGCTAGGTTGTGAGAGTGGACTCTCGCGTGGACGTGCGGATGTGCGGGCAGGCGGGCACCTTGAAGGCGTGCTCGCTCTGGAAGTGGTGCGCGATGCTGGCCGAGTAGGAGACAATAAGCAGGCCCAGCACCACGCCCAGGCTCAGCGCCAGGATGAACGGCTTGCGCCGGCCACATCCGCCGCTCCAGTTGTCGCTCGCCGAGCTGATAAACGGCACAAACACAAGGGCCAGCACAGGCCCGATGCCTGCGCGACGGGGGTGGGAGTTGGGGTGGGGGGGGCAGGGGAACGGTGCGGTGGTGGGGGGGCAGGCGATGTGACGTCAAGAGCTCATTCGCCGGCCGACAATTTGCATTCAATCACACGTCGATTTGTTTACGCGCAACGAAGTACCTTATACACATTCAAGTACAGCGATGATTACTTCAATACACTAAGACAAGCTAAAGTACCCGAATAATGCTTTTGTAAACGAGTGAAAAATGGAGACGAGTGGAGTAGTCATGCAGTGGTTCGTGCGTTGTGCTACGAATCAGACGACCCGAGTTCCATTCCTGGCCACAGCTGACACCAGCGGTGGGTGCCTCCCTTTACTAACCTGGTTAAACAGCGGCCTACGACTGATGAAGAGGGTCCTTTATCTATTATCTGTGATGGTGGCCACAATAATCTATTATCAGCTACCTGTAATAAATCAAAGTGAAACTCTGTCTCTTATCAACAATCGTAGGTAGTGACCATCTTCGCCGAGAGCCATGTGACAGTAGTCGGCATTCCACATTCATATGGAGGGACGGTCCCAATGTATGGAAACAGTATTTTATTTCCTGCACATTGATATCAAAATGTTCACATCATCCAAACCTAGAGAGATAATGACAACGATGGCAGATAACCTCATCCCCCTGCCATGGTAACGTGGAATTTCTACGACAGCTAATGGAGATGATTGGAGCAGGAATTAACTTCAGAATTATTTTGTCTGTACGTGTTACTGTGTGCAGATTGGGTGTTCACAGCTGTACAATGCAAGTGGGTTATTTTAAAACCATCGACTTGTAATACAAATGTCTACTCTTTTAAAATATATTCGTCATTTCCATCCTCCCAATTTAATTTAAAGTTTGCGATGAGCATCCTGTCGTGAGTGGCATCATCAATTATCGCTAGGTGGAGCACATCCCTGCACACGCCTTGCAATAAAGAAATGTCATCCACGTGGGAGTCAATGTTTTTTTTTTTAATGGTCGAGTTATTGTCAGCATTTATTGGCAAATAAGCTGAGACCATCCATGTGCTAGACTCGAGAACCGGTTTAATAATGTGCGGCTGCCCACATTCACACCCCAGTTTATTAGCTGTCCTGGTTCAGTGCTCTTTGATGGCTCAGTGCTCTGAAGTATCTGCCAATTGGTGCGCCTCTTGCAAATGTCTGCACGTGTGAAAACACATTTGATTGTCGTGTAGTTATGACAGAATTGACGACTGCTGTTCCATGCCGTGTGAATATGGATTTCCACCACTGGCTCAGGGCCGGCCTTGCTCGTCCGTAGTCGTGAGAACGGTGGCGGAGACCACTCACCAAGCACCATGGTCATGTAGCGCTCCTCCACGCCCGCTTCCAGCAGCAGTGGTGGCACGTAGGTCACTCCGGCCGCCACGCAGATCTCCAGGCCGCACGCCAGCGCGTTGAGCAGCAGCAGGCGGAACTTCTCCGTAGCATTCATCGCGTGATCGGTCACCCCTCGTTCCGCTTCCATGCGCTATGGGTGCGCGGTGCTGAGAGAAACCTTCCACCCGGCGAATTGTGTCGATCGCTACTTTCTACTTTTGTCCCGTGTTGGTAGCTGCCGGGCAAGCGATGCCGCACCTCTGATTAGCGCGGTTGGCTATGTACGGTGAGAAATAAGTTCAGCGTACGTACGCGCGTGCACGTTGTGTCGGTATCGAACGTGAATTGCGTCAAATCGTATCTAAATTTGGATTGTCGTCGGTGAAATTTTTTGTATTTTTGATGATTAAAAATAATACCAGCAGTGAAGACAAAGACAGAAATAAGCACGTGGATTTTCAGATTGTCAAGCGTAGGCCCTATTTAAATCTCGACTACTTTTTGACATTTTTAAATGTTCCGTCATTTTCCCCAGGACTGAAATTTTTGTTAAATACGCGACTAAGTTTGAACGATTGCGTAGACGGATGCCTCAAAAGGCCCTTCCAAGGCAGCCGGACGCAATGAAGATCTCAGTACGCTGCGGCATTGCACTGCACGGAGACGTGCACACAAGCAGTGCATATGGCACGCAAACAAACTTTGTGAAAGAGAATTGATCTTGCGCAAAACACTTTACAGGGCAGCAGCAGCAGCAGCAGGCAGCTTCTCTCTCCCACGGCTAACGTGTTTCAATCACCTCGGATAAATAACACTCCACCCGAGTGCAATAGGTTCCTTCGGGCCTTCGGGCCAGGCTTCAAAGTGTTTTATTCATGGGCTTCGTTTCCCAATGTCTGCTGCGCCGCACAGGTCCCAGCGAGTACGCGGCAATGTCCCTGTGCTGCATTTCCAAGGCTCTGCCGTCTGTTGGGAGCCGGGGCAGATCGTTGCTGAGAAGTGACTGCCGTTTGTACCGTTGCTTGGAGCGGAGTCCTTGGTGAAAGGTCGACGTTTTAGAGGAGAAATCGAGACGTTCCCGGAAGGTGGCGATCCGGATTGTGGAAATCAGCACGCGCGTTCAATCTGCACAAAATCACATGGACAAGCAATACAATAAGCAAGGCTATTGACACGCACGCCGCGCTTTGATGGGATGCAAATAAACACATGAAGTGATCTGTGCGCAGAGCAGCACCGCGGCCCTGCCCATGTCCATTCGCCATCCTGAGCCAGCGGTAGAAACTCCACATGGCAAGGATTTGTGGAGGGGGGGGGGGGGCAGTCGTTTCATACGGCAAGCAAGCATCGTGGGTTGAAAATGCACATTAAAGCGCAAGCCTGAAGACTTTCTTTAGGATTCTGCTTGAGAACTCAGAGAGCATTGGTAAAGGTGCAGCCCTGCATTTGCTTGCTCATGGAACTCTGAGCAGAAGGGCCTCCACTCGTGAGAGGCCTGGAGAGCTCCACCAGAAGAAGGAATTTGGCCTACTCTTCCACACTGACCAGAGGTGCTGGAAAAAGTACGAGTACCCATACTTTACCCCACCCGCACACGACCTGCCAATCGACTAACCGAGGCGTACAAATCAACAAGTTGGGAAATATCATGCATATGCATGAGTTATAATAATTATAATCATAATTGATTTACACTTATAATGTGATGCTTTCCAGCAAGCCATCGTCGTCGAAAACATGTCAAATACCTTTGCATATTTGCAAATATTGTAGTCCTTTTCTTCTCTGGTTTGTTTCTCAAAGTTTTGGGTATTGCTTTGATTAATACCTCTATGCCTCAACTTGATACGAATGTTTAGTTCATAGTTGCATCATCGTTACGGGAGTTATCGTCGCATACCTGTCAACCCCTTATCACTCCCCTACCTTATTATAGACCAATTCAGACCTTATTGGTCACCCCGTGCCCCTTATAAATCTCAACGTTCATCCTACAAAGTCCCATCACAAGGGAGAAACACAAAAAAATAGACAAAAACATGTTTTTGCCCGTACTGAAACGGCTTTACACCGTATGGACACGGAAACTCAATTTCCCTGGACAAGAATACGGGTAAACCGTATGGGTCGACAGCTATGTCGTCACCCCTCATCATTTCCAATGGACAGAGTAAATGTGTGAATGCTTTCAACCTTGGGCGAGTAGAAAGAATACGGGCGAAACAAAGTCTCCTGGCATAGTAACGTGGAATTCCCATCACCGTCTCACTCAGGAGGAGCTTGGCCAAGCTCGGCTCGGCCCTGGACGCAAGGTACGAGCGCAAGCCGGAAACGAGGGCCGAGAGACGCTCAGCTCTCATGGCCGCGTGCCACTCGACCGCATGGCAATTGGCTTGCCGACAGTTTCCACAGCAGGGCTTTTGGGGTTGACTCGCCTGGGAACCGCCCAGGGAGACCGCGCGTTCACCGGCGGGGTGCGGACTGCTCGCTTCACAGCGTAGAAAGCGTTGCCCCAAAGCAGCATTTGCCCTGGGGTCAACGCTAGCAGGACGCACGTTTAGATTCGGTGGCAATAAATTACCTGGGAGGGATTTTGAAGGGAAGCGTTATGCTGCTGCTCATACGCGTTTCGCAAGCTACACCTGCGGCCACCGCACACAGAAACTCCTCCACCAAGGTGCACGCCTTTCCGTTTTGAAACGGGGCTTGTGCTCCTTGCCAAGTTATTTTAAATGGAAGAGCAAATGAAGCAGCACTGGAGGAAAACAAGCCACCTCTTTTCAGGGTCAGGGGTATTATGTTTTTTTAATTTCAACCTCGCTTGTATCGACGATTGCACGTTCGTAAGCATTCAACTGAAATCAGAAGGTCCGTCGAGGCGGAGTTTTCCAGATAAATAAACTTACGCGAAGAATAGCCACATAGTATGTCGATGAGTGTATTTTATTTATAAAGTTCAAGAAGTCGGTCTAATAATACATTATCTGCACTTTGGGAACACTGTGGGTAGGCTATATCTGTGTGTGTGTTTGTGTGCGGTAGTGTAGCAGTGAGTGCGCTGCGCTACAAATCCGGTGACCCGAGTTCGATTCCTGCTCACAGCCAACACCGGTCACGATTATCCGAACCGGTCCTAGGCCTCCCCTAGGTCGACTCGGCATCAAATAAATACCTGGTGCGGTGCGTAAACATCGCCACTCAGTCGACAAAGGCGGCCAAGCGTGGTGCTGGCCACTAACCCCCTCGTGTGCCGTACCGGCCTTCATAGATGCTCACTAACAGTACTCGCCCCAACAGTCTGTTGAGGCTGTACGGGGGATCTTAGTCTTTGTTTTTCGCATGCATGTATGGATGTATCCGAATAGATTTGAAACATTATCAGGGTAGTGTTGGTGCAGTGATTTACACAACACCCCTATGCCCCAGGTTCGATCTCTGGATACACATACTGGGAATCTGAAACGAAGCTGGGCTGGGCTTCCACTAGGTCACCTCAGCTTAAAAAGAGTACCTGGCGTGGTGCGTCAACAACATTGATGAACGAGGGAAGACACAAAGGCGGCCGGGCGTGCCGAACACTGGCCCATGGCGCTCTTTTGTGTGCGGCATGCCGGCCTAAAAATTAGGTGCTCCGCTAACAATGGTTGAATCGACAAACTTTGAGGTCAAAATGGGGCTCTTTCTCCGTGTCTCTTTGTTGGATTTGTGTTTTTGAGAAGTGGTCGGCAATGTGTTTCAGCGTGCCGTGTTGAGCGCCGGGCCCACTGACGCAAGCGAATAACCAAACTCCATTGCGGTCCAAACGAGAAACTCGGAAAGGTTCATCGACATAAATCGGGAACAAAAAAAAGGCGGGCGATGAGGAGGCAAAAGATCATTGTGTGCTGTGCTGCCCCCCCCCATCCCACCGGGTCTTGGCGTGCGTCACTTGGTGTTAATACGTGCTCGCTAACACAGAGGATTTCTAGTGGTTCAGTGGGGGCTACTCAGTAATGGGTTGCTTTGTGTGCGTGTGCGTGTGTGCGTGGGGAGCGGTAGTGTAGCGGTTAGCGCGCTTCGCTAGGAACCCGGCGACACGGGTTCGATTCCCGCTCACGGCCAACATCAGTGACGATTATCTGAACCTGTCCCGGGCCTCCCCTAGGTCGACTCAGCCTCAAATGAGTACCTGGTGCGGTGTGTAAACATTGCCACTAGGAAGACAACGGCGGTCGGGCGTGGGGCTGGCCACTCATCCCCTCATGTACCGGCCTTCATAGGTGCTCGCTAACAGCACTTGCCCCTACAGTCTGTTAAGGCTATATGGGGGATCTTTGTTGTGTGTGCGTGGGGGGGGGGAAAGCCGCGGTGCTACAAATCCGGCCGGTCGAGTTCGATTCCCGCACACGGCCAACACCAGTGACGATTAGATGAATCGGTGCTGGGCCTCCCCTAGGTCGACTCAGCCTCAAATGAGAACCTGGTGCAATGTGTAAAGATCACCACTGGGGAGACAAAGGCAGCCGGGCGTGGTGCTGACCTTTCCACCCCCTCGTGTGCTGTGCCGGCCATCAAAGGTGCTCACTAACAGCACTTGCCCCAACAGTCTCTTAAAGCTATACGGGGGATCTTTGTCTTTGCTTTGTGGTTGATATGACGTGGCAAAATACAGCCAGACGTGACGAGCTCACAGAGTTCCTTTTGTTATCTTTCACCTCCCATTGGAGGTGTGTCTACCAGAGGTGGGACAAAGTCATTGTTATGCAAGTCCAAGTCGAGTCTGAAGTCATCAAATTCATGACTCGAGTCTGACTCGAGTCCAAGTCACATGACTCGAGTCCACATCTCAGAGGTGGGACAAAGTCATTGTTATGCAAGTCCAAGTCGAGTCTGAAGTCATCAAATTCATGACTCGAGTCTGACTCGAGTCCAAGTCACATGACTCGAGTCCACACCTCTGGTGTCTACTGCCTTATGGAAATCTGCGTGCTCAAGAGATATCACAATCAGCAACGAGATAAAGATCCCCTGTGTGGCCTTTTAGCCGGAATGTTGGGGGTAAGTGCTGTCCCCGAGTACCCACGAAGGCCGGCGCGGCACGCAAAGGGGGTCGGGTGGCTCACACGTGGGCCGCCGGTATCTCTCCCCCCCCCCCCCCTGCTGATGGTTAACACGCCGTGGCCTTAACAGGAGAGGGGGGGGGGGTGAAACTAAAAAAATCATGAAAATGTCTAACAAAAGCTGACATTTTGGACAAGGTCACAGCGTCACTGACCAAAGTGTGGAGTTTATTTTATACAATCGAATGACAGTTTTATGCCGAGACATTTTTCGAAATAACGATGTACAATTTTCACTTATTGGGCAAAGAATATCTACTGGTGATACAAATTTAAATAGGACAAACTTGAATTTTTTTACCTTCATTAAACACTTTTACGGGTAGTTAAGCTTGCTGGCTGACTTGAAATTAACATCGATACCTTGGATAACCACAATAACTGCACTACAGATACAGTGAATGAACAACGCATCTACTGTAAAAAGCTCTGTTGTTTCTTGGTGTTAAGTTATGCCTTGCCATTCCAAAGCAAGCTCACGACCTTCTACCCTTTGTATTCACGTGGTTCTAAGTATGGTACTGGATGCATTAGAGCAGTGGTTCTTCTTCTTCTTAACCTGGGCTGCACGCTGCACCCCCGGGGGTGCGAAATGCCCTCTCCGGGAGTAGAATTACTTTCTTTCATCAAATCTATGTATTTATTACCATTGTAGATGTTTTAACGATTGGTAACCAAGGGGGGTGGCAAGGCTGCGGTAAAGGTTAAGAAGCACCGCATTCGACCAATATACAGGATGGAGTCATTGTGGAATTGCTTGTTTCACTGGACTGGAAATCCAGCGGCGGTCGCCGGTTCCATCTTCCGGCGAGGCAGTTAACACGATGGGGGCATGAATCTTGACTTAAAGCTTTTGTGACTGCAGGAATTCATATTCTTTGGGTCTTTCATCATTCCCGATGACGAACGCTTGTGTTGCAATCGAAACGTCGTCGTTTTTTTGTTGTTATTTTTTGTGATTTTCTTTGAACCTATCTACATGACTTTACCGAAAGACCCAAAGAAGATTGGGGCATGGTTTCTTAA